CTCCCACGTCCCCCGCCCGGTGGTGGGGGGTGGGGGAATTTGGGGAATTAAATTCCCAGACATCTAAAATTTGCCATGGTTGAGAAACACTGATCCAGACCATTCAAAGGCCATAATAGCCATAATAGCCCAAAACATCAGGACCACTGTTAACTCTGGTTGGCTGATCTGCTGGGCTGTTGCCTGCCTAGGGTTGACTGATCAAGATCAGCCCAACCATTAGACAGAGTGAGACAGCTGATTTTGAAGTGTTACAAAAGACCACGATGGATTGGTGAGGCCAGGGGTAAGATGAGAAAGGCAGTTTGGGTTTTGTTTTTGTTTTTTTTAACCCCAGGTGCCAATGTAATTTGCCAACCTTGAAAAGTAGGCCCTTTCTTTCTTGTGGCCTATTTCAACTCTGGAAATTTGAATCTTGCATCTTCTCTGGCTTAGGTGCTGTTGGCAATGTGCGTGTGAGTCCCCCACCTGCCTAGTGATGCTTTGGTTTGTGAGGCTGTTTTCTTGCCTATCCACTACCCCAACACAGACACCAACTTTACTGCTGTTTCTAATTTGTTCTCTTGTGAGCAGCTGGGTGCCAGTTTTAGAGCCAGCTGGGCGTTTCCAGAGTTAATTCTTGACAAAACTGCTTACCTTGTGAGACTTTTTTTTAACAAGTGGCAACTGCACAATCACTTCAACCACAGGGAACAAACCCAGTCAAAAGCAATTCTTCCCCTCCCCCCCAGTTGTGATTTTACCTCAACACCTGCCACTCTTTATGAATGTTTTTATTTCTCCTATCTCCATCTCTGAAATCTGAAAAGGAAAAACTTCTACAATCCAGAAAAAGGAAATGCAAAAAGAAATGGCTGTCATCTTGAGGTTTGCAAAAAAAGGTAAGGGGAAAGGAAATTGAACAACTGAGAATTGTTATTTTCAAATAACAATTGGTGGACAGATTTTTGCCTCTGATAAATAGATCCAGCAAGTTCGTTATTGTTTTTAAAATATTCTCAACTGGAAGGATTCTACAGCTCCATAATGTTTTTAGAAACATATTAAATAGAAATCTATAATAGACAAAATTTGTTTTAATGAGAACCACTTGTTTGACAAAAAATGTATGGTGTGGAGGCAGCTAAAAGCCAAACTAACTTTAAGGACAACAGGCATACAGGTATGTGTTAAATCTGGTGAATCTATATAAATTTAAGAGCTGAGTTTGACTGAAAGTGTAGTATAAGCGTAAGGACAGGACAGAGCTTCCCATTTGCTTTTTACCCTACTACCGTTAAGTCTTAGTTGTCTTTCCCCAGTGTGTTTTGTGTGGGGGTCAGAAAAATAAAGTAATCCCCACTAGAATAAAAATGAAATTAAGTATGACCATTTTGGAACCCAGAAAAAATTCTAAAAGTTCCCTCCCAGCCACCCCTGGCGTGTTAGCATATGCCCCATCCCAGCCTCCTGCTTTATCAACCTCAGAGATGAGTGCCTAGTTTGACAGGACGAGAACCACAGTAAGTATGCTCTTAAATGAAGAAATATCAGCTCATTTGTAGAAGTGTGATACAACAGTGTTGCTGTTTTGTTTATCTTTCCAGTTCTTAAACCCTGAAATTGCTATGCAAACTTAATAGGGTTTTTCTCACTGCCTGGCCGATTCCGACTGAGTCCACAGACAACCTGCATATCAGTAAATCCCGCTTGATGTCCTATTTGTTTTGCTCCTGTGGTAAATAGCTGAGCCGCCATAATTTATCAAGTTGAAAGGTGGTTATCCTACTTTCAACTCCTTTAAAAACAATCATATAACTTGAGCCTTAATGCATGAGGGCCATTTCGGAATGTGGCAGAGATTTAGTTTCTAAGGCACCCACCTTTGGGGTGTAGCAGAGATATCGGAATAGGGGCAATAAACATGATGGGGATTCAAAGCCATTCATAAAATATGGCACGCATCAAGAGAGGAGGGGGAACTCCTCTCCTGTACCAACTTCAGAGTTCTCGCAGTAAGCTTTCTTTGAAATGTAGCCATTCAGACTTCAGATGGGATTATTTTATTGCTCTTCTACAGAGAAAATTCAGAAATCTACAGAAACTTCCAGATGAGGGTTTCCTTGGGTAACTGCCTGGTTTTCTTCACATAATTGTAATGCCACTTCTAATTGTAATTCCACTTGCAGTCTTCTCATATTTTCCTACTACTTCTTCCATCTTTTTTTCTTTTCCTTACAAAAATCCATTTGGGAAGAAAAGATGGAACGCTTCTATAGTTTTTAAGTGATAAAGTTATAGAGGCCTATAAGTTAAAACACAATGTGTAGCTTTTTCTGGTACCATAATTTTGTGCAAGGGACTTTTAAAGATAAGTGTTTGGGGTATGCACAGGAGCACTGTCATGTCTGTAATTAGCTTTTGTGTATATACTACCTTTCAGAAAATTATCAAGTAAGTTCACAAAATAAATAAGGCAACAATAAAAATGCAATAAAACAATCAATAAAACAGCCAGACAAAATAGCAGCAGGTAAAAAAAAAAAATCAAAACGATTAAAATTCACCTGAATGAAAAATGGAAAAATCTACATATTTGACAAAGAAAAATGTTCATTATTCTACTGTCAACTGGCAGTGCAATGTGAACTGGGCAGCTCTCAACAGTAAATAAATCCATTTAAAATTCAATAACAAGTGTGCCGCAAAAAACAACAAAAACATGTTGTAGCATCTTAAAGACTAAACATTTATTGTAGCATAAGCTTTTGTTGACTAAGCCCTTGTAACTGACAAACATGCCATAATAAATCTGTTAAGAATTTTAGGGCCCAAAAGACCCTCTGTTGTTTCTGTTGCAACAAACTGACATAGCTACCCTTCTGGAAGTATAAAAGGATATGCTAGGAAAGGCCGTCTGTGGAAGACATTCAGGGAGGCACCAGATGATCTTTTGTGGAAAAGGATTTCCATAATAAAATTCTGCAACTCAGATGCTCCTTTTTTCAGCCTCACCTTAAATTGCCCTTAAGAAGGCTCTGGAGAAAATACATCAAGCGGGGACAGAGAGGGATGGGAATGGGAATCCAATGCCAGAAAATTCAGTTTCTCTACCCTGGATCTGAACTTCACTACCTTGGATCTGAACCCCTAGGCAGGTTTCTTTGCCTAGGGGTTCCCCCCCCCCCACTTCTGTGGAGTGCATTGGGGTGTTTGAGAGCTTTACTCCACATAGAGGTCAGAAGAAGCAGAAATGAGAACAATCCTACTATATCTGCACTAACTTGTTATGCATGTTATAGACCATCTTTCTCTAACTTAATGCTTTCCAGCTATTTTGGATTCCATAGACAAAGGCTAAGAATTTGGGAAATGCCCTAGGCATTCTTAGAATTGAAATCCAACATATCTGGAGGGCACCAGATTGGGGAAGACTATTCTTAACCATGTGGAAAGCACTCAGGGCTCACCCTCTTTTCACCTCACTTTCCATCTGACCTCATTTTAAGAACCAGTATGATAGAGAAGTTAAATTGTCCCAAAGGACCATGGAATCCCATTAGACTGTGGAACTGACTTTAGGCCAATCTCTGTCTCTCAGTCCTACTTACTTCACAGGCTTGTTGTTAGAATAAAAGAAGGGAAGATGACCACGACCTTTCTCTTGAGCTCTTGAAGGAAAATGGGATACAAATTAAATTAAACTAAACAGATAGATCAGTAGATACACGCTTCTGCTGCTTCCTTGTGTTGGTTGTCTTTATACCTCCTTGTATCTCTCAGTTCCCAGACTTCCTTTACCCCTGCCAGCACTTTTCTTTTTCTGTTTATAATGAACATTTCTAAATTAAGAGTTTCTAAATGTCTGATTAAAATTGGAGGCACATTTCACTGTTACACCTGAAAAAGTTTATGTTTGGAGTGTAAAACTAGGGCCCAAAATAGACATGATGTTATATGGACGAATGCATTTAATGACATCAGGTTTCCCCCCCCCAACAATAGCAGCTCCTGAGACTTGTGACCATAGTGTTCAAGGCTAATGGGCAAATCTTCTCCTTCCCCCATGTCACGTCCCTATTGAAAATCACACTCCCCCACTATGATTTAACTGTGGGAAGGAAATTTCCATTGATGTCAGTGGGTACATCCTTCCATGCTAAATATTTAGTTTTTTTGCAGGGCAGAATGGAAGCACCTCCCATTTCTCTTTATCCTTTTGAACTTTTTCTTTTTTTTCATTTTGCACTTGTGTTTTCTCACCCACTTAAGGAAAAGATATGGCAGAACTATTAATCAGGAAAAAAAAGTGAAACATGATATCATGCAATGATGCAGCAAAGAGTTTCCTCTCTATCAATGATTTTTGCCCACAACAACATTTCTTTACTTACTTGATTATTTTTTTTCACATACTAAGAAATTGTTTTGTGAAAGACAGAATAAAAGTAGGATTCACCATATTGTAACTGAGTGTTGGGCAAGGACTGGTGAAATTTTCAAATCCTTGCTCAGCTGTGAAGTTGTAGATGACTTTGGGCAAGGCACTATTATTCAAGGCAAGCCTATCTAACTAGACTGTTATGAAGTAAAATCATTATTTCATAACTAGAACCGTGAAGTAAAATTGACAAGATTAGCCAATTCACTGAAAATGATCTTACCCGGTTCTCTGTATGAGAAGATAATTTTCAGTGAATTGGTTAAGCTTGTCAATAGGAAGACCGTCCTTGCATACATGATAAACAGAGATGTAGCCGTAACATGTATGTGGGAGTGTATCATGCATGACATACTTTTGTATCTGCAGTAGAGTGATGAACAGTGGTATAGAGGAAGAGAGGTGATAGCTTGGAGCCAGAGCTGAATTCAGATGTAGTGAGGCCCTAAGCTGTGGGATGCTGTAGAGGCCCTACTTGTTAAGTGCTAACAGAGAATAAGGCTCTGTAACAACTGAACTTGGCAAGAGTGCCACTAAGATGCACAACAAATCCATGATAGGATGGGGAAGGGAACAGAAGGAATGCATGCATGCAGAAGCATATCTTGATCAATTATGAGGATCACGTAAGGCATATAGGGGGGCTTAATTTACTTGCATGAATGCACTTATAATAAATCTATAACAAATGAAAAAAAAATCTGAAATTTTGAGAGGCCTCTTCAGATTGTGAGGCCCCAAGCTTGTTCAGTTTATGCCTAAATCTGGCTCTACTTGAAGCCATGTTCTGTGGCTTTATTGAAAGGCCTCAGATCCCGCCCCCCCCAACCCAGTGATGCTGTATGGGAACCATGCCTGTTGAGGGCTGATGGAACATATAATATGTGAAAGTATCATGCCCAGAATTAATGGATAAGAATGGAGAGCTAAGGTGGAGAGACTGTTGAAAGAATAGTGAGCCTAGAGACAGATGAGAAAGTAGAGAAATAAAGCTGTGAAAGGAGGTTTGGAAACAAGGACAGCTATGTTGAAAATACAGCCTTCAAGAAGGACTTTAAGCAGAAGAGAGAGCTCCTGGAAGAGCAGAAAGGGGGGGATGTTGCAAAATTAGATTAATTTAGATTAGATTAGATTAGATTAGATTAGATTAGATTAGATTAGATTAGATTAGATTAGATCTACAGTATGTCCATTCTGGGTGGCAAAGGGAGGTGACGTGTGGCTGAGTCCTAGAGATGGTAAATTCTTCCTTGAGAGAGGGGGTTGTTCTTCCACCCCTTAAAGAGGTGCTGGTTTGTCCCCTCCTCAGGAAGCCATCACTGGACCCAACTGGACCCAACTGTACTGGACAATTTTTATCCAGTATCCAACCTTTCCTTTCTAGTGTATCCAACCTTGCTCTCCTTGACATTTTGGTGGCCTTTGATACCATCAACCATGGTATCCTTCTGGGCCAGTTGC